GGGCCGGCGCAGGGAGCCCCCCCCCCCCCCCCCCCCCCCTCCTCCCATGACCTACTGGAAGGGAAGAAGGCTACTCAAGCATCGGAGTACATACCACGAAAGATAGAGTCAACCGAGTGCGGAAAAAAATTATAGATGATAACGTAGTCAAGCTCAGATTAGTCAGGAAAAATCAATCGTTGGTGCCAACTCTACCGGTTAGCTGAGCTACATCAAGACACAAATGAGTTCTAGGCACAATGCTCTCAGCGAGGTTCTCCCGTACCTCAAGCCTCAACGGGCGGGAAGGGGCTCAACGGTCGGGGGCGGGGGGTCGACAGTTCCATATGACTAACGCCTCGTCGATTGACCGACACATCCATTCCCATAACACGTCACGTAGGGCAGGCGAATAGAGAGCAGCGTGCGTGCGCTGCGCGCGGAGTCGCTGAAACAACTCGAACAAGACACACCGGCCTACCTCCCTGCTGAATCGCTTACCTGAAACACCCCTGCGGTCATCTTCCCCTCGACGATGACGACGCAGTGCTCGGTGAAGAGACCCTCCGTCTTGTGCTGAAATTCGATTTTTGTTTGATCCAGCCCGTTTCGTTTGGTTCGTTTGTCAGTTGGTTAGGCTAGCGGTACGGCTATGCAAACGTCGTGCTTGTAGTTGTCGTTGTCGTTGTTAGTGGTGGTGGAGGTGGCGGTGCGCACAGCCAATACCTTCACCGCAAGAACCCTCACCAACAACACTAGACTACAAGGAGAACAGCAACAACGAAGACATGATCGGCATCAGAACGACTACAACATATCAGCGTCACCCCAAAACGACATCGACGGTCATATTGTAACGGAAAACAAGACAGATTACCGGCCTTATCAACGGAAAGTAAGACGAAACGAACGACTTGCTCACCGCGTTGGAGAGGTCGAGCGGTAGCCTCGTGACCTCGTCCTCCAGGAAATACTTCCCTTCCTCCGGTTGCGTGAGCATGCCAAGCAGCCAGCGGAGGTCCGCACTGCCCACCTACAGACGCGGAGGCAACAGCACCAGACAAAAACGATGACAGTATCACCACCACCACCACCACCACCACCACACCACCATCAACAGCAACGATATCACCCACTACATCAACATCACCATCATCCCCAACAACGACAACAACGACAACAACGACAACAACGACAACAACGACAACATGTTCCTCTCCAAGGCATCAGCAGCAGCAGCAGCAGCAGCAGCACCACCACCAACATAACGGGCAGAGACAACAACAACACCAACAACCACAGCAGCAAACAACGACCACAAAAGCAGCGTCAGCAGGGAAACTAAACCCTGCTAGCCAAACGCCTCACTCACTAGAGAGTCTAGCGGGGAGAGCTTGATGTACTCTCGCCGAGAAGACTCTATGATGGGAGGCCGGAAAAGGTCGTGACGTTGCACCCTCTGTCGGACCATCAAGAAACGCTCTCGGTACATGCGCGCCTGTGTAGTAGTAAGTGTGATGGGATTGGGGTGCAGGTGTGTTGACGTTATTTCGGTTGTAGATCACATGTAGAAAGGATCAGGGAGAAGAGGAAACTCCTAGGGGACAGAAGCTCAGCAGGTCCCATGTGGCAATTCCTCTACAAATGTGTGTACGGAGTCAGCGACGTAAGGATCACGTTTTGATAAACAAACGCACATCGGGCGAGCCTTTGGACGTTCAAGCGCGACAATATCAGCACCCGAACCGCAGACGTGCTCCACCAAAAGGTACCAAGCTGTCTCCGAAGTTAAGAGCTCGATTGCTCCACAACGAATAGGGCGGACACACGAAACGGTACGTTGTCGGAATGCTATCGATGAGAAGTATCCAACGCCTCCAGTTTCGGCACTACGACTCTTCCTGGTGTATACTAAATAATGAAGCTTTGAAAATCGGTCTGGGGAGGTGTGATATCTGAAGTCACATATGGTACCCGATTTCAGCCACCGCGCCCCCCGCATCAGCACCCCGAGACAGTGGACACGCGGGTTCAAGTCTATCGAACTGCTCCGGGGCAAGGCAGGAGCAAATTGCGACAAAACCAGGACATTCGCGAAGAAGGGAGTTGGTTATGTCCGCAGCAGGAGTAGTTCCCCCAAAGGTCACGACACGATCCCATGGCATGTGATTGTCATTCTTTGATAGGAGGTTGCTGGAGGGGTGCTACCGGTTCTCCGACGACATACCTTAGCGTGACTCAAGCAGCAACGATGACCACAACACTAATCACAGCAACAGCAACAGCATCCAGTGCAGCACCACCGAAAACTAAGACAAACAAGCAGAACAACGCAGCTCCCTCTCGACTAACCTTGCTCTCTGCTGGCCCGTGCATGCTGCGTTTTCTTGTCCCGGCATCCTCCCTAAAGGCGCGAGCACACACCACCGCGGTTAACAGGCAAACAACGCGCCGAGAGTAACAGGCGGTCAAGCGGCGAGAGGAGGAAAGTCCCGTGTTGGTGACGGCATCGATTTGATCGCACATACGCGTGCTTGCTGCTCACCGTCGTGCATCGCGTGCGCCAAAGACAGGGAGGAGATAGCCGCGGAGATTTGTTCGTTTTCTCATGCCCTGGACAGGGCATTAAACGCATACCAGGGGCTATCGACGACTCCATTCCCTATGACGCCCCCACCCCCTCCCCACACAGAAGCACAGGTATCTTTTTACCACTTGGGCAAAATATATACATCCAGCACTTTAAATTTCCACAATTCATAACACATTTCTGTCATTTTATCGCGTATTTAACATCGTGAAGACTGCTCCCTACCCACAAGGCAGGGGGTTTCCAAAAAACTCACAGTAGGAGCGTGTTGCGCACGGGGTCGAAGTAGAGGCGGGGCCGGACGAAGGCGTTCTGCATCTGGGTGCTGCTGTCCGCCAGGTCTTGCTCTCTGCTGGTGAGGTCGGCCACGACGGCGGACACGGTGTCCACGTCCACCACGTTGCTGGACAGCTCGTTCCGCTCGATGCGGGCCTTGACTGATCGGATGATGGCCTGAACCGCTTCATCGGCACCTTCCTCCCTGCTCCACCGAAGGGGGGTGACGCGGAGACGGAGGGGGGGGTACTAATGTAAACGCGTGCCGTACTGTAGTGGGTAGAACATTGACCTCGAGTCCCTACAATGCCGGGACGGAGCGATATGCCCGGTTTTCGCGGGCCCGGGGCTACGTTTCACAAGGATGAACCAGAAGCGTAGCGGGTTGTCCAACCGGGTGTTCGTGCTGCAACCGTGCGCCATGTGTGGCCGTTGGTTGCTGCAAGGGACATCTGACGCTTATGTTAAATGTTGTTCCCCCCTCAGCATAGTCAGCAGTGTTTCGCAACCCACCCGTCCGGTCAAAGCAACGTACAGTCGTCTCTTTTCTTTTGTTTTTGTCGGGGCAGAGCTGGAAAAAACGCCTTGTCTTGGTGAGCGGTCGAAAGCACGTGTTGTATCTACACACATTGTTGTCGTTCGTGTTTCGCTTGAAAAATCGTCCTGATCTCTGTGCACATGTGTAGCGATGCGTCGCCTTCTGTGCGTTCCGCGAAAAACTTTGAGCAAATTACAAATTACAGGGCCTCAGCCGGGGCCACACAGACGGGAAGGTGAGGGATATCCCTCTTTACGGTGGAGCTAGCTGCATGTACCCCTTCATTGACAGGGCACACAGAACGATACACGTCTGATAGTCGTCACCTGGCGTCATGAAGTAACGTAAGCCGCCGGTTCTGCTCATGTTTCGATTGGTGTATCTAATTTCAGACGCGTTTTTATTCGCCGGGCTACACACTCTAGGAAATATCCAGTAGTTTGGGATAACTTAGTAATACTGTGCGACATGCAAGAGTATGATACAGCTCTCCACCATCCGTGCGTGACCCCCATTGATCCATCAACACCATCAATAGACTGGCGCCCAGAATGATAGATCATCGGACGAAGGCGCACGCAAGTGCGTACAGAGAGATTAAAGAGAACATTCAAATTTAAAATTCAAAAATGGAGGTTCGCGTTGTCCGGATGATGCTGCGCCCGAGACTTGCATACAGTAGTACGTAGCCCCACAACAGGGCAACCTTGTCGCAGTTTTCGATAGCCGTGTGTTTGCTGAGTTCGCCATCCCGACACGCCGACCAATCTTAGCAGCAGCCAAGCCTTGCTCCTTTCTTGCTCCGTCTCACATGTGTCTATGGATGCATCTACATGTATGTATGCTACCTGCCGCAGCACGTTACAGGAGTACAGATGGGCACATATGTACAACGCACATCTCTGTCCGCTGTCCATGCCTGCCCCGCCTCCCCCCATCCCCTGTGTGGGCGAAGACAAACACAGCAGAGCACGACCTTTGTCAACCGGCTCCACGACTGGTTACAACACGACATCCTGACTACAGTACGTGCATTCTCCCCCCTGCTGTCTGCCTTTTGTCTCATCATGCCGCGCGGGAAAACAAACACACGCTGCTGCTGCTCACCGTTCCACAACTCGTACGATGGCTCTCGCAGCATCAGCTCGAAGGCCTAGTCCCTGGAGCTTGAAAGCCCTGAAAACAGCCTGTGCCGAAGACATCCTTCCGAGCGAGTGCGGACACGCGAAACACTGGGCGTAGCAAACACAGAACGGCTATCTGTCTCTCGCTCACAATCAAATGTTTAGCAGCGGCGTATTTTGGTTTTGAAGAACACGCCGCTCGAACCTTTGGAAAGCCATTTCTTCGAATTTGGCCCGTTTGGAATGCTCGCGTGTGTGCTCGTACACAGTAGCACTCAGAGGAGAGAGTGGGCGAGAGGGAGTGACAGAGAAAGAAGCGTGCACAACGACTTGAGGTGAGCACAGGACGTACGCATCCTCCATCTCCTTGTGTGGCGTATACAATTGGTCGGATCGTTGAGATTTGAATCATACCGTAAGTCGTGAATTTGAAAAAAAATCTGGGTGTGGTTGTTGCTGAGTGATGGTTTCAATCTCCGTCGTGAACAGAGAGCGGGCCTTTGAGGTTGTCATGCATGCATAGATCTCGGTGCACACATTGATAACTCTGGCACGACATGGGCTTGTTGCTCTGTCGTCTTTAGACTGAAAAGCAAGCCCTTGTTTGGTCCCGCAGAGGTACGCTCGAAATATGCGTCCGTGTTCACGTAGACCATATTGTATGCAGCATGTGATGCGAATTCGCCAACAGCGTTATCTTGTCCATCTCTCACACCTTCCTGTTCGGCTTTGCTGCGTGCGATGGGATGTTGATGCCGTTCTTGCACACCGAGGCGATACGGACTCGCACAAGCAGAGACGGCACTTTGCACCAACTGACGACGCCATGTGAAGGGCGTATCGTCCAGTATAGTCTGCAGCCCTTCAATTGTTACGCATATCCTACAAGTAAGTACGGTCCAGTACTGGGCCCTCTATAGTGCGGGGTTGTGTCCTGAAATTTTACCAACACTACCGAAAGAGTCGGAGAGATGGCACCCACGTGTGAGCGTTTTTGTATAGCGTATTTCTCCACAACCAGGGGGGTACCACTGCCGAAAAGGATAGTTTTGGAAACATCTCGTCGAGGGCTTTCCTGAGAGGTATCGGTTGGTGTTCGCACCCTCCTACTTGTGGAGATTTACGCTACAAACAAACGCTAACACGGGGGTGCCATCTCTCCGACTCATACCGTATTCAGAATAGTGCATCATAGCGCCGGTCCGACACTATTGAGGGTTGGAATATCCCTCAATAGTGCCGGTCCGGCACTATTGAGTGGGGAGGTGTTTGATTTCATGGTGTGGCGCTCACACTTTGCGGGGTCAACAGAATACGAAATGGATCGAAATTGTGTATTAATAGTGGACGAAGCTAAATGTCAGGCCTCGTTGCCCCCCTTCGATGTTACAACAAAAAAGAAAGACAAATCGAAAAAGAATCACAACAGGAAGCGAGCTGCAAAGAAACAACCAACCATGTACAGCCCACCATCACTACGTCGCGACAAAGCTCTCTCATGTCTGCCTGGCGCTCCCGCCTCGATGTTGCAAGAAAAACAACAAAACTAAACCAAGAAAAGCACGACAGGAAGCGCACCACACGAAAAACAAGCAACCATGTACCGCCTACCCTCACTCCGTCGCGACAAACTCTCTCAATGTCTGCCTAGCGCACTTACCTGCTTCGATGTTGCAAGAAAAACACAAGAAAAGCACACAGGAAGTGCACCGCACGAAAAACAAAACAACCACATGCACCCTCCTCCCTCGCTACGTCTCGACAGACTCTCTCATGTCTGCCTGGCGCACCCGCTTTCTTAGTATTATTAACGTAATGCCTTGCAATCACCGCCATCTTCGCACACTTCACCTTCCGCACAAGGTATAGTGCGCCTCTGCGCAGAGCTGTTGGGGTCTGCAGCAGCACGTGGACCCTGTTTTCTGTGTGACGTCTGTCCTCCGGCTGTGTTGTGTGTGTTTTTTTTATTATTAGCATCGACCGCGCTAACCGGTTGGCCAATGAGAACTCGAAACACTTCTAAATGTCATTATCTGGGAACCCGTAAGGGGGCGGCATGGGGGAGGTAGAGACTTATCTATTCTCCGGATCAAAGGCAGAAACGGTGGCAACAGAATAAATCTGCACACGTCTACGAAGGCTGCTACTTTGCACTCGAGTTCGTTTTGGAGTGCTTTCCCCATAATCTTCTTTGCTTTCAACTCCATCGTTCTTGCGTGTGTGTAAACGGGCACTATTGCGGGGCGCTGTGGTACCCAATCGGCACTATATCGGGGCTGCCCTCGATAGTGCCGGACCGGCACTGTCGAGGGCGCGGTCTGTGTTCAGAGATTTTACCGGCACTACACCGGGTACCGGCACTATTCAATCGGCACTATAGAGGGCCTAGTACTGTACAACATCACGACGAAGTTGCAGTTTCGTCTGCAGCGGAGGCATTCTAGTATTTACTGCACATATTCATGCAAGAAATCTGTAGAGCGGAAGCACGTGTTCGCAATACCACGGCTTATGGTTGTGACCCGGCGCCATCGTGATGCCACGTAACCCTGATGCTAAGGAGTCTACAACTACGACCAGATTGCACCATCAGTGGCAGGGTTCTTCTTAACGGCGCCATCGCATCTCATGCCCATTGGTACTTAAATGTCTGACGGGTTTGCTCGGCTCCGCCGGAACGGCAACGACCGTATGCTACGCAGGTGGCCAAAGACTCGCTCCGATGGCGGTGTTTCCAAGGGTACAGCAGCAGGGGCGTCACGGCAGCCGTGGTGGCGGCAGAGGCACGGCTTCGTCTTCGTCGTCGTCCGTTACCGCCACCAAGACAACGACCCCGCGGCGAACGGTTACCGCCAAGAAGGTGACAGCATGGGGCACAGGAACGGGTGGGCTGACGGACCGTTCGTGCAGATGTTTGCGTCCCCGAGGGCAGATCTTGTTCGAATGGATGGTAGTGCAATATTGGTCTGACGCAAGATATGCGTCGCTAGGTGTTCCTGTAGATGGACCTATGTACCGTGACGCAAAGAGGATGCGTTGGGACAAGGATGGAGATTACTAGGCACCATGGACGCGTATTTGAGGATCTTGAGCGCTACCGCGACGGGAGAGTTCACTCTCCCATCGTCTCGCGGGGGCACAGCGATCGCTGATCGATATTTAGTACGCTGGATGTGCCTGCTGCAGTCTCCGGCCGGGAATTGAGTACCCGGTTCTCTTTCGTGTGACATGCACCCACAAGATTTCCTCCACAATGTGTCGGCGCAGTTGCTTTCGAGCAGGAAGAGAGAAGAGCAAGCAGGGTACGTGCTAGTCAGCGGTTACATTTGACGGATCCGCCCCCTCGAGTTAGACCATATTTTCGCTGAACAAAGGAGGCAACAAAATGCCGATTCGGAAAAATCTGAAGTCACTTCCCCGGTCCTACCCCCGGCAGGACACCGCCTGTCATCGCGAACACATGTTACACACGTAGTGTCTCGACCTCTAGAGATTCCAATACACGGCTCCCTCCTGTAGACCACGGCTGATGGGCCGTACACCCAATAACATCTCAAAGCAGCCAGACCCTACCGTGCGAAAATGCTGATGCCCACCCACATTTAGGGTAAGCTGGTCTGTGACCACGGGGGTCTACCGCGTCAAGTGTAAGATCAGTAGGGGCAGAGGGAGATACTCGATGGGGAGGTTGGAACGGATTTAATTGTGAAGTCAGCAACAACAACGACAACAACCTACCAGGTATATATTTTCCGAACCATAGCTTTTCCCCCGAGAAATGTCGTCCCGACACCTGTCTCTCTTCGTCCATCTCCCCGATTTCAGAGGGCATCCAGCAGCGTCCGGTCCTCTCCCAGGCTTCACCTCACGCAAAAGCGAACCCCAGCCAACGCTAGACGCGGTTCTGGCCCCGTCGGAAACCGGTTCGCTTCCAACCAACGCCAGGCAAGCCCAATTGTTGCTACCGTCTATAGGGGATCTGGGGTACACTGGTGATGTGAACATGAAGAAAGTTCCGATGCTCGAATGTTTGCACCCACCCCAAGTTGCCTACGGCTCCATATATTGCTTTGTCGTTGTCCACCCTCCTAAACTACCTTCGCGGGTGAGAAACGCGAGTAGTCCCCCCCTATGTTCGGTAGACGAAAAAAGCTTTTCACCACCAGGCCCTCGCCCCGCCGTGGCCCCTTTCCCAAAGTTTAAGGCTTCTATTTACCTGGTGGTATGTTGGGATTTTACGGTGTCACGTACACTGGAAACGCATGCTAACTTCCGTGTTTTCGTCCCGTCCAGCTTTGTTCGTCTTGTTCTTGCTTGCGACCCCCACGCTGTCTACATCATGTGTCACCCGAACGTGTTGTTAACCCCCGACTCACAGAGCACGAAAGCCAAGGGACGGACTTCCTCTGTTGGCGCACACCGCGACAGCAGTGGCGGTAGCACCGCATCAGGCAAGGCGGCGAAAGCGGCCTCGGCAGCGGCAGGCGGAGGAGCACGGAAAAAGTCGTCGCCGGCAGACGACGTGGCGAAGGTCATGATTGATCTCAAGGGAGATAGCACCGCGGTCATTGACAAGGCCATGGGGAAGGTGGAGGCTGAGTGCGGCACCTTTGGTGAGCGAACGATTATTATTGTTGCTTTTCGGGACTCGTGCTTCTCTCAACTACAGCAGCGTCCACCCGTGTGTCTGATGGTGGTACTTTCGTACATTGTAGAGGTAGGTCCCTCTACCTGTACGGTGGGTGGCCGGTACCATGTAGGGCGGGTTCCATCTCTTGGCACGGATGAAGTAGTCAAGGTGTGCTACACTCTGAACATGGCGGGTGAATCGACCCGGCACATCCGCGCCCCGTACAGGGGACCTCTTCTGTAGGTACCCACTGAAGTCATCTCTCCTAGTGGATTGCTTGCCCAACCAAACTGAGTGCATGCTATATCCTGTCCGACAACGACAATGTCCTGTTGCCGTCTGGTGCGTGGTGGCAGTGATGACGGTGCTGGAAAGCTGCTCCGCTGGCGTCTCCGGGCGGGAGGAACACGACGAGACGGCGGCCGCGGCATTGCGCGAGATCGAGACAAGGCAGGCCTCGCTGGCTTCCCGGCGTTCGGAGATGCTCAAGGAGGTCGAGTGAGTTGCTCGCCGTTTCTTGTCATCTCAGCTCAGCTCAGCCCCGTCTCACAGCTCAATATCTCATCTGATATCGCATCTTATCATATTAGCTCATCTCAGAAAAAACTCTCATGTGTTGTTTGTTGCCTCAACTAATCGCCATCTCATGTCCTTGTTATTTCAGCTCGTCATGTCGACCTGTTGTGCCTACCTCTTTGTTGAGGGCGTGCATATCCTCCAGGTATAACGTCCCGTTCCTACCTACAGTACGCGCTTTCTAGTTCTTTCTCGCCACGCTACACGGGCATACCTTCGCGATCTCGTCGGTTTCGGACGTGAAACGGATACCCCTCTTCCTCAACTCTCGCAAGTCCAGCTCTACATTAGTATTTTTTTCTCGACTTTTTCGAACCCCATCTGAACATGTACGTTTGCCGTCATTTCTGTCTGCTCTCGCAAGAACCTGCACCTCCCTTCGCAAGCTATCTCGCTGTTGTATCCACTGTCGTTTTGCTGAAAGTCTTTGAACAATCCTCCTTGAGCTTCGGCGAAGGCACGTTCACCACGTACAGATTCTCCTCCTTATACCCGATGTTTTCTTCTCCGTTGACAGGAGCAACAGCAGCAACTTGTCAGCGGTCGTCGAGCGCTGTAGAGCTGCTCTGGACAGTCTGCAGCAGGCGGAGAGCCGCAAGCTCAAGAGCGGCGTGAGTATACATTACAATGAGTAGCCCCCTGACACAGTTCGGTGCTCTTCTTCGCGAAGGGAAGGGTGGCTACGCCGAACAACAAGTAGTTAGAAAGCTCAAGGTCGACCGTGTGCAATGCTGTCGAGGAGATCGGCGTCGAAAATATTCTTGTTGCGAAGGAAAAAGACGTAAAAGAGTCACCGTGGGTGTGATGTTACGCGTATTGTACCTTCTGGCCCAGTTGCTAGGTTCACTTGAAAGACGATCTGACGGAAGGCTAGGTCCAACGTGAATTCTGGGGGAGCCATTGTTGAAGCAACGCCATGTGGTCATCCTCGCCTCTCCGACTGTACTTGGACTTAACCGAACAAACATCGAGTCGTAGGAGCTGAATCATGTACATGCTGTGTCTTTCATCGAAGTCTTGTCTTTTTTTTGCCCTGCCGTGTGGCACCTTCATGTTGCACGCCCAACACGACCATCACATGCAGTTTCAGGAGAGGGTGGTATGGTGTGGACAGAGCAGAGGGAGTGACGTTTTGCGTCGAAGCCTGTCGTGCATAATAGACCAATCGATGAGCGTTGCCTGTGACACTTGGCTCTCTTTTGGCTTGTGTGCTACGGAACTGGCGTCTGATAGTTTCATGCACGCTGTGAAGGAAAGGTGTTTGTACAGCAGTGCAGCAGTACATTAGCTTGGCAACATTGGCTATGACCCGAAACGCTTTCGCATCCTTCACGTATCCACCCGCAGCTAGACCGAGCAACGGGGACGAAGAGCTGATTTGAACTGAGGCCGGTGGGAGGGGCCAAGCGGAAACAAATTTCCAGGCTCATCGCGCCACGATACGTTGGCGGAAAGTCTGAAAATTTCACCAGTCCTGTTGGTGTCAGCCTTCGAACGAAGCGGAGAAAGTACTATATGGCCGTTCACTTTCGCGTGCGCGCGTAGAGTGTGAGCTGGGTTAAGGGTTAGGAAGGAAGTTATCGTTCCGAAGAATGGAGGTACGACTTCCTTCCCGTGTCACAGAAACGTATCGCAGCGCACTTTTTACATAGCTCAAGTTGGTTGCATGCGGTCGTCCTTTGCGCAAACGTTTCCTGTGGCACCTTTCCGAGTGTTGATGTGGCCTAGAAAAATTGAGGTATACGTATCTCTAGGGTTTCGGTCTACTCGACCCTTCTTCAGCGCGGGACCTGCCCGGGAAGATGCTAGCCCCGCAGATTCAAGACATTGCACTACGTCGTTCGGATATTACCCATCATTTTCCACATGATGGCTGATGACAGGGTCGCCCCTCTCTTTCTTATCGTCCCCTTCGGGACTCTGGTGAGAGGTGAGCTTGAACGGTGTTTGACAGCCAGCCTTGATTACGTGAGCCGGGCTATACGGATATAGGCCCTGGCAAGCTGCCACGGTCAGCAGGGGGAGCTGTGGCGGCCATCGCGTGTCGGGGTATCACCACATCGATGGCTTCGTGTTCAGCACACGCTTGACGCTGGGTACGTTGGTGTCGCCTATCGTGTCCGTCAGCCCTTCCAACCAAACCATGGGCGACTGCGGAGGTACTCCATGAGTGTTTTGGTGGGGGGAGCGCAGGACCATCAGGGCATGGGCGGTATGGGTAGTGGGGGAGGGGCAAGAACCGAAGGAATAGGGGGCGTTGGGACGTGTCAGGGTCGGGGAGGGAGTGAGTTTGGTGCAAGAGGGGCAACGGGCACCTCTCTGAAGGAGCATGTTATGAGCACGTTGGTAGTCTCGCTGCAAGCCCTTTAGACGAGAAGAATTTCAAAGTGGAATTAATGTAGTACAGCAATGCATCGTTTCAGAGACGTAAATGGGCTAGCTGGTGAAGCGGTTGGTGCAGAGTGCTCTGGTTGATTCTCTACATGCTGCGCCAGCTGGATGCGAGCCCTTACCGTCGATCCCAGGTGGATAGTATATTGGACGTTTTCCGACCAAGATTATTTCACCAGTTTGCTGCTGCATGCAAGGGTAAGGGTGCCTCTAACATCCCGCCAGAGGCAAAAGACAGAAATGCCCCGCCAAAGGTTTTCTATTTCGCCAATTACATACAGCGGCGAAGTGCTTACCAAATTCTTCGTGTGCGCTTCATGCCGCACTCACATGGAAATGGGGTGTTGGAGTAGAGATGGTCTGCCAGCGTACGCCGGCACGCCCTTCTTCCAACCCAGACCACGAAAGTTGGTCCTCCCACAGTACCTGGGTACAGCAACATCGACATTCAAGTACCACACCACCATCAACGACAACAACGAACACCAAGTTGAGGGGACAGACTTGCTATCTACCTTCCTGGAGAACGCGTGAAACGGTTCACGGTTCGTGACGCCGTATAATGTAACACCGGCCGCACACGACAGTGTGTGTAAGGTGAAATGCAAGAACCCAACAAGGGCGGCGATCCACACTTTCGATTGGGCACTCGTGGCGTGGGGGAGAATGTTCAACCTGAAACGTTTCCCGCGCTCGCCCTATGTAGGGTGTTCAATGTGTAACTCCACTGTTTCGCGTCGCAAGCAGGTGCTGCGACTCCTTCCATGCCATGAAGGTTGCAATTGCTTAGTCTACATGGCCCATAGCACTTGTACAACCAAGCCATTCGTCTCAACAGTCTCTGAACGGAACCTCACCATCATCTCAACAACCCCATTGAAGCTTTCACAACAGGCTCTTTCCATTACGTGTCACACGTCGCAGCGACCTTGGCCACACGACCCCGGCAATAGGTTGCTTGAAACTTAATCCGAAAGAAAGCTTTTGCAGGAGCGCGGGCCACACGACTCCGGCAACAGGCTGATTGAATTTCCACCCGAACGATAGCTGTTGCAGGGATGCGGGCCACACGACTCCGGCAATAGGCTGATCGAAGGAATCACCGAACGACAGCTGTTGCAGGAATGCGGGCCATAAGACTCCGACAACAGCCTGCTTGAAGTCCTTCCCGAACGATAGCAGGGTCAGGGACGCCGGCCACACGACTCCGGCAATAGGCTGATTGAAAGGATCACCGAACGATAGCTGTTGCACGAGCGCGGGCCACAAGACTCCGCCAATGGGCTGATTGAATGTCCACCCGAGCGATAGCTGTTGCAGGGATGCGGACCACACGACTCCGGCAATAGGCTGATCGAAAGAATCACCGAACGATAGCTGTTGCACGAGCGCGGGCCACAAGACTCCGGCAACAGGCTGATTGAAAGAATCGCCGAACGACAGCTGTTGCAAGGACGCCGGCCACACGACTCCGCCAATGGGCTGATTGAACCCCCTGAACGATAGCTGTTGCAGGGACGCAGGTCACACGACTCCAGAGATAGGCTGATTGAACGTCCTCCCGAACGACAGCTGTTGCAGGGGTGCCGGCCACACGACTCCGGCAATCGATTGGTTAAATGTATCCCCGAACGATAGATTTTGCAGCGAGGACGGCCACACGACTCCAGAGATAGGCTGATTGAACATCCACCCGAGAGATAGCTCTTGCAGGGACGCCGGCCACACGACGCCGGCGATAGGCTGATCGAAATCAAACGAGAACGATAGCTTTTGTAGAGACACCGGCCAGGTTACTCCGGCCAAATCTTGATTGAAGCATACCCCGAACGATAGCTGTTGCAGGGGCGCCGGCCACACGACTCCGCCAATGGGCTGATTGAATCTCCACCCGAGTGACAGCTTTCGCAGGGACGCCGGCCACACGACTCCAGCGATAGGCTGATTGAATTTCCACCCGAATGATAGCTCTTGCAGGGACGCCGGCCACACGACTCCGGCGATAGGTTGATTGAATGCCTTCGAGAACGACAACTTTTGCAGGGACACCGGCCACACGACATCGGCAACAGGCTGATTGAATGCCCTCGAGAACGACAGCTTTTGCAGGGGCACCGGCCACACGACTTCGGCAACAGGCTGATTGAAGTCGTTCCCGAACGATACTTGTTGCAGGGACGCCGGCCACACGACTTCCGCAATGGGCTGATTGAATCTGTCCCCGAACGACAGCTTTCGCAGGGACGCCGGCCACACGGTTCCGACAATAGGCTGATCGAAACCACCCACAAGTGCCAGACATTGCACGCGTACGGGCCACGACACATTCTCTATTGGAATATCCAAATCTGCCTCCAGGACCAGCTGTGTCAGTCGTCGGGGCCACCAATTCGCTGATCCTAGGCTAGCCGCACACAACGATCCTTGCAGCTCAAGATATTCTGACCACGTCCACAGCTCGATGGCGGCTGTCCGTAGCAGACTTTCCATGGGAAGTGCCCACGTCAAACGAAGAGCCCGCACGGCCGGCACACGGCCCGACACAAGCACCGACGATCTGCTTGCGTTCGGCGGGGTCTGTGTTGTGCGACGAAACCATAAACTTCCAGGCGTCTGATCAGTTACACGTACGTGCAAGATTGAGGTACTTCGGCACGCCCTGCACATATCCAACGAGACTAGCTGCAGCTCCAGCGTCGACGCATACCAGCGCTTCTCCCCTCCCTTGCATGCTTGGCTCAAGGCGACGACGAAGACATCGAGGCACTGGGTTTGCCCTGGGAACCATCAGCGTCAACAAAAACCGAAACCGAAAGAATTTTGAGGAAGAATGGTCGGATTCAATTGGCAGTTTCTCGTTTCATACATTACCGGGTGATATCAATCCGGGACAGGGACACATGTGGCATGATAACAGCTGCCCTGCTCCCATGTGTAATGAGTACGCACTCGGTTATATCCGGAATCACTTTGACGACAACCGGATCCGAACTAGCATGCACACACGTGTCAATCGTGCTTCCGCAAAGAGAGCACATTCTCCTGACGTGGCAGAGGATAGATTGTTTCCTTGGGGGGTTGTACGTTATGAGGGAGACAGCGGTGGACATCTCTTGACCGGACACTAGAAAGAGCTCCCAGGGTCCCTGCAGCCTAAACCCACGCGCTTGATATCACCGGCCTTCTAGGTCCCAGACATGCCGCTTGGCCAACGATGGCCTTGTTTCGACTTCTGTAAACGTTGAGCACGAAGCACAACTCTTACGCTGATTTCGTAGCCCTCAAGTTAAAGAGTTTGTCGAAGCAGCGATCATACGTTCAAACATTCAAAAACTGAGCGCACAAGCTGTGCATTAGAGAGCGTATGCCAAAAAACCCACTTCTAAAGCCAGCAAGAAAAAACGAATCGAAGCACACTGCGGGGTGTTTACTTTATCGCCCGATATTGTGTGCCCGCGGGCTCCCCCGCGGGCATTCACAGGAAAATCCAAGGCGCGCATTCCGGCAACACTATCAATAGATGTTCCTGTTATATTGCTGTTGTGCTTGGTTGCGGCGGGTGCCACTGTTATTGTTCTATCTTGCTACACATGAAAAATTTCCATCAACAACTGCCAACCGAGCACCACCTCCTCGGTACTCCTGCCGACAGACATGCACGAGGTGTGCTGTAGCAAGCCTGCCCATGTGCAACCCCGACATTGCTGGCATGGCAAGATCAACAAGCACCAGGCGCTGCTCCTTTCCCTACCCATTCAGTACGCACACCGCTGTGAAGGATGCCGTAGCATAAAGCAAGACACGGCCAGACTTGAGAGGCGACATCATTACTAAAGCCGAAAATACCCTTTCTTGTAGATGCAGTCCAGAACCGACATTATTGGGTTCTACGCACGTGTGTGTGTCCAGGGAATGACCCAAAACAGAAACCAAAAGAGGGTGCAAACGTATCGGGTTGGCGAGCGAAAATGAAAGAGCAAACGCTC